TTTTGAAATGGTCCTTACACCACAATCTTCATCCGATTTTAATGTTTTCTTTTCAAAATATTTATTAGATTCCATATACTGAGAGAAAAACGAGTCCCTAAACAAGTCCTATATATTTGTGCCGAAAATTTTTTTTTTTTAATTATTAAAAATTAATTTTTTTATGCAAAGAATGCTCCGAGATGCAAAATTTTTGTCGGGGTATTTGGAATCCCGATTTGAAGTAGAAATCTATTGTCCCTCAGACCGCGCATCATCAAATTAGAGGATTCTATCAACTGTCAGTATGTACACCAATAATTGAAATACGCTAAAAATATATCCTGTCAAATATATTCAGTTTGATGAAAAAAAATCGAATTATTCGAATCATTCGAATTATTTTTCGCTACCTCCAAGAGTTTTTGCAGTATGCCACAGAGAATATGTATAAAGAAGCGAGAGTCTAGTTGTCTTCTTCCAGACGGAAGTGATTCATTGTATCATTGCTACTCGAGCCACGTTCGAACGTGTGGAAACAGATAAACGGATCGTGTTATAAAATGGGTATTAGAGATATGTACATGCGAAATTTCTTAGCTGACGGTGATGATTATCAAGTTCAACAGCTTTGCAATATACTTTTGATAATTGATGGTGAAAAGGAAACATGCAAACTTTGGAATGAAGTAAGAGGGGAAAGTGATAAATTCGGTGTAAATTATGTTTTAAGTCCCGGGTGGATTATCTTTCGAACCTTATCTCGATTATTTTTCCATCCTCAGAGTGCAAAATATATCACAATTTCTATTGAATTTTACATCACGCAGGAGTCCCTAAAAACTATGATTGTACAATAAAAAAAAAGTAGAAAAAAACTGAACATTTTCAAAGAGCGTTTTTAACAAACATTAAAAAATAAGCCCGATGAAGAGGACATAGTGAATGGATAATTTATCTTGGTAACTAACGATCTGACAGCCATTCACTACTGTGACAAATGACGACCTAACAGCCATTAGGTACATCAAATTATTCATTTGCAATTTCTTCCCTATTGGGGTTATATCCCAATATTATTCAAAAACGCTCTTTGAAATTGTTCAGCTTTTTCTCAAAGTTTGTCATAAATCATAATTTTTGGAGACTCCAGGGCTATGTAAAACTGAATAACAATTGGAGATCATTTCAGATTATCAAAATAAAAAAAACAATCAAGATCATGTTCAAAAGATAATCCACCCGGGTCTTAATGGGATGGAATATGAAGTAATTTTACATTACATTGAGATCCTGTAATATCGACCCCATCGTGGTGCTAGGAGTGCAACCATATCTAGATCGTTGGATAAACAATCCTAGAAGAAGTGAACCCTGCAATTACGGAAAGCCACGATACAATCCCTTACTCCTATACCTTGTATTTTATGTATTTTATGTATTTTATGCCATCGCTCGAAGCGGGGAATTCAATTGATAAGTCGCATCGGTGAAGCTGATAACACCATCGCAGCTCTTGCTAATGCTGATGATTGCCTAGATTTTAAACCGTGATAATGATTTCTCCTTTTACGGAGTGAAATTCATACCTTATGACAACCTGAGCCACGAAAGCACGCAATGTGCCGGTGGCCGGTCATTATCTTGCAGGATCTACAAAATCCATGAGCTCTTGGAGAAGTTCTATGGGTTTAAATTATCCTTCCTTCCTCTGGCTCTTGAAAGTTTGCACGATAGTAATAGAAAATTAGAAGTATTCAAATCTTTTTTCAATCACATCATGACGGATGATGAACCTATTCCTAGTACTCTAACTTGACAAGTAAATGTGAATCACTGGATCATGTTGTGGCAGAAGTATCAAATGATATTAGTGATGATGAACAACCGAAAATTTTTAATCAGTTCAAGAGAAGCATAACGGAATTTGCGACTATTCCACCCGAGTTTCTGCCTTATTTAGCATTGGATGATAAGATTTGATAAATATGCATAAAGACTCCACCACTCGCGATTTATCTGCAAGTTTGTAAGTTGGTTGCAAGCATTATGAGAGCAATACCTGTCAAATATTATTTGTCGGAAATGAATACCCTGGGTGTTATGTGTTTATGAAATGTTGGTACGTAGAAAGACATGGAACAACACCGAGATGAGGTGATGTAAGATCTCAACTGATAACCCCCACAGCCGCCAGTCGATTTACCTCCGCCGCCCTCCTTACGGCAAAATTATTAAATATGAAATTTGGCTGTCCTATCCGCTATACCAATCGAAATCCACGGTGCCACGGTGGCCCGACAACGTGTCGGAACTAAACCCATCAAATAACCTTGAAAACGTAAACATCGATTTGTTATTGGTGTCATATCATTTTCCGACATTCCTTTCGGTTATAACATTTGCATTCCGCATGTTAATATAATTATTAGTATGATATTTTTCGAAAAATGCGTGGTGGAGTCTTTCTGCGTATTTACTGAAGATTGATTATCTGAAAAAGAGAATAAAGGAATAGTGCTCACTATCTCAAGGCCTCCTTCCCAGAAAACAATTTTTGCCAGTGCTATCTAAAATTTAACAGGACATCCGCAGTTTGTCGACAAATTGTCGAGATACTGTTTGCTGGATTGATATGTGACAACGTCATACATCGCAAGAAAAACAAAACTACAGAGGGGAAGAAGATTAAAAACAACGATATTGAAATCACAGGGGAGATGATAATAAAAGAAGCCCCTGACTGGTGGTGTCGAGACTTTTTGCTATCAGGAATTCCAAAGGATATCTGAATGAAATTATTGTTTCATTACCTCCAAGTGTTTAGGTTCACGAGAGATGAAGAATTTGAGACAGTGAACGAAGCAGAAACCCCGATGACTGCTAGGGTATCCAGTCTGTTGATATCTTCAATGGTAGAAACAGGGTACATTTCATACATTAAAATCTCCAAAAGGTATACCTTGTGGAGTTACTTTTTCGGATATACATTCAAGCTGCCAATTAAAGATAGCAATTGAGACGTCAAATATATAAAACTGAGGGGATCATCTGTGGATTTGGGAAATTTGCGTAAATTTGAAGTAACTAAATGGTGACTTCAATGACTGAAACTCTCGGACTTCAGAACGGAATTCTTTAAGAACTTCTGGAGGGATGGGAACTATCTAACTACGATAATATACTGAATAAAAAAGTGGAAAATTGATAAAATTGAAACCTGCTTATCCTCTCTACTGTTTATCATACTGCTAAATCTGAAAATACCGTGGAAATTGGAAAATACCGTGGGAATTATGAATCTGAAATATACAAACTTATCCACATCACAAAAGAAGACTGCAATGTTGCAGTGAATTTCTTCGAAACACGCTCAACGGTGACTGTGTTAAATTCGAGCAAGGAGCAGCGGTCGGTCGACAATCATTACATTTATAATATTTTATAATATTACGAGGATTTTCACGTTTCTATTACAATAGTTTTTTTAACTTAATTGAAATTTGAAAATAATAAAATAATTCATTTAAATTTTCTGTTAACTATGGAGTCAATAATTCCACATTTCATAATAGTACATTACGCAACTAGTGCGGAAAGCAGGCGGTTACTCACGAGGGCGGCTGCGCCGCCCGAGTGAGACCGCCTGCTGCCCGCACGTGTTGCGTATACTATTTTATATGATAAGTGCGTGATGAAGTCTGGGGGCGGAGGGGGGGGGG